CCAAGCCAGCCACCAAAGCCAGGAATGGTGGAGCACACCTGTAATCTCAGTGCTGGGGAAGCTGAGACAGGAGGATCACTATGGGTCCAAGCTGGGTAGCAAGACCCTGTACCAAATAAATAATTAATTTATAAGCATCTCGCATTGAAGATACTAACCTAGGGCCAGGGAGACAGCTCAACAGCGAAACATCTGTTTGGCAAGCACAAGGTCCTGAGTTTGATCACTGATACAAAAAAATTTTAAAAAGATACTAGCCTAGGGGCTGGTGAGATGGCTCAGTGGTCTAAAGCACCTACTTAGAAAAAGCTAAGCTAAGCAAAGCACAGGGACAGCGGTTCAATCCCCCAGCACCACATGCCAGCCAGCCCCGCCCCCTGGTGGGCTGAGCTGGCCACACACACACAAAATAAATAAATAAATAAACAAATAAAACAAAATTAAAAAAAAAGATACTAGCCTATTACCACACATGATTAATATATTCTGAATTGGAAGTCATTTTTAAATATATTACTTTCTCATTTTTTTCTTTGTAGTACTGGGGATTGAACTCAGAACTTTGTGCTTGCTTGTTAGGCAGGGCACTTATGCCACTGAGCTATACCCCCAGCCCCATATTACTTTCTAAAAATAGAGAAATTTTATATGTGGTCCTACCAGTCAGCTGTCCGTCACAGAGCCCATAATGCCTTGCTGAATTCTTAATTTAATGGGCAGGAGCCCCACCATGACAGAATTTTACACACTTTTACAATATCTCCCCTTCCTACAAACAGCTTCCCTCCACTGGGGAACCAGCCTGAGGCCAGGCCAGCCTTCCTCAGTGCCAGGGGGCGCCTCTCTCAGCCAGCTCCAAGCCCCCCAGCGGATGAGGGGGCACCCAGCCACAACGCACACTTTGGGGTGCAAAGCTCAGTGGGTGCTTCTGCTCACCTTCAAACCTGTGCTCTGCTGACCGCGCCGATGCTCCCTCTCTCAGTCCTCCGTGCTGACCTGGGCGTGCCAGTGTACACCCCTCAGAAGAGCAAGACTTCTCTCCTAAGTGAATCCCTTCCCGGGCTCCATCAGGTGCTGTGTGAGCATCGTCACAGAGAGGGACACTCACGTACACACGGACCGTCACAGGTCTCTCAGGTCAGGGAAAAGGAGACTACTGCTAAATAAAACAGTATTCCCGGGGCTGGTGAGGTAGCTCAGTGGTCTAAAGCACCTACTTAGAACAAGCTTAGCAAAACACATGGACCTTGGTTCAATCCCCCAGCACCACATGCCAGCCAGCCCCGCCCCCTGGTGGGCTGAGCTGGCCACACACAAAATAAATAAATAAATAAATAAATATATAAATAAATAAATAAATAAATATATTAAAAAAAAAACAGTATTCCCCACCTCTTGGGTAATTTGAAGATGTTGCCTAATATCTGGTGGTCAATGTTCTTAGAATTAAGAGATCTAATCTGCAATTGAATGTTTTCCTCAGCTCAACAAATATGCACCTCAAAAAAAAAAAAATATGCATCTCATACCTGCCGCCTACTGGACATCGTTCCAGCTGCACAGGACACAGCAGAGAACACAGCTGAGGGCCCTGGTTGTGCCCACATCCATCACCACCCCTGCATTCTCCTGGGGCTGCCCATGTCCATCACCCTGCACTCTCCTGGGCTGGTCCCCACCTCCAACCTGTCCTCAGTCTCCCGGGACGAGCAGGACAGCACAGACGTCCCCTGCGCCTGGTGCACCATGATCCTGAGGGTGGATAGGCTGGGGCTGGTTTTCAGAATAAAGGGTTGGGGCCTGGGACTCTCCCCGGCTGCCTTCTGGCACTTCTTCCCTGGTCTGGGCCCTGGATGCCCCAGGGCCAACAAGGGACTTGGCCTCCAACCTGGCCAAAAGGAACTCTCACTTTTCCTGCTCTTGGTCCCATCATTCTGGGACCTGGTGACATCCAATTCCTGGCCAGCTCCAGTCACGGGCACAGTAGTACCCAAGATCTAATCGTGTGGGTGCTCCCAGAGCCCTCCAGGATGGGCACTGGGTCTTTCCAAGGGTGTAAGTGCCCCATATACAGCTCACAAAGGCCTGAAGGGAGAGACGAGGCAAGGGCAGCTTGCCAGCCTCCTTGCTATGCACAGGTGACCTGGACACACCAAAAAGGTGCTCCTCCTGCTCACGGACCACTCTCCTCAGCTTGTAGCAGCTCCAGGCCTGGGTCTGGCGGCCCCTGGAGCCCCCAGCTCCTTTTCGCCCATGCCCCCAGGATAAAAAACAGCTCACTCCATGTTCTCCAGGCATAGTGGCTGTGCTGGTGAACAGGAACACTTCTTCATACTTACTTGTGAAAACACAGGGGCCAGCAAGCATGAAAGATACTCCCCAGACACTTGCACCTGTGATGCTAGATGGGCGGCAGACTGAGATGGAGCAAGCCAGAGGTGGCAGCAGAGGCTCCTGATCCCAGGCTCATGAGAGGCATGCTGAGAGCGTGGCAGGAGCCAGCCCTAGAGTGAGCAGGACTGCCGAGTGCACAGGGATGTTCGGGCTCAGCCACCACCCTGCAGCGGGACCTGGGCTTCAAACTTCAGAGCCCTCTGCTTCCCACCATCTCCCAGCCAAGGTTAGGGATAGGTCTGAAGAGCCTCCCAGAGGCACCTGCGGAAGGGGACAGGACCACAGGCGCTGTCTCGTGGTGGATTCACCCACCAACACACCCGTAGGGGACTATGGGGTAGGGAAGGATGGTTCTTGTCCCTGCTCCTCCCTCCCTCCACTTCCTGGCAGTGAAGGTGGAGCACCCTCCCCCAGCCCCTTCCTGTGCTGTTTCTGCCTTGGAGCCCCCAGTCAGGGGCTGAAGCCATGAGCTAAAACTAACCTCCCCTCCTTTAAATTGTGGGTTCTCTGACATTTTGTCTCAGACATGGGAACCTGTATCATGCTCGGGCTGAAGTACCTAGTGCCAGGCATGGTGTTGCATACTTGTAATCCCAGCACTTGGGAGGCTGAGGAAGGAGGATCACTAGCCTGGGCTACAGAGTGAGTTCCTAAGGCCAGCCTGAACTCCTTAGCAAAACCCTGTCTAAAAAAAAAAAAAAAAAATTACCTAGTTCTGGGAGAGTGACTCAGACACCACATTAAATGCAGGCCTGTCCAACCCAGGAGCAAACCCAGCCATTCGCCATTCCCACCCCACATGCAGGGGCACAGCCTGTTCTCAGGCAGCTCTGCTATTCTCCTTCCCAGCCTCTCTTGTCTACAAGCTCAGGGCTCCTGCTGCCAGCCCTATCACAGCCACCGCCAGACACATGGGGGCACAAGCTCACCAAGCAGGACTGGCTCCGGTCCCAAGTACCTGAGCTCTGGACTTGGATTGGACCTCAGGGCAAGGAGTTGACCCTGGAGGGCTCAGACAGCACCCAAGCACACACTTTCTCACTCTCCTTCCTCCTCCAGAGTGGGCTTGATTTTTCCCCATGATGCTTTGGATTGAGGATAGGGCTTCACACCAAGCCACATCCCCAGTGGTTTTATATTTTGTTTTGAGATAGGGTTCCACTCAGTTGTGAATTTCCCAAGCTGGGCTGGAAATTGCCTTCCTGAGCGCTGGGATGACAGAGCGCAGGTACGTGCAGACCAGAAACCACAGCCTACGGGCTTAGCCTGGTCTCCAGCCCAGGAGGGCTCAGGCACCAAACGTCCACCTCGGTCCGACCCCATGAAGTGGGCACAAACTTCATGACGCCGTGATACTTGGGCACAGAGTTCGCAGGCGCACAGCCCTCCTCCCCGGCGAGCGCCACCTGCAGGTGCGCCCCTGCCGCCCTCTCATGGGGAAACTGAGGCCCAAGTGCAGGTCGAGGAGGGCTCTCCCCAAAGCCTAGGCTGGGCTAGCTACGTCCCCACCTCCATAGCGGCCAGGCGGGGACCACGTGCGCCACACTGGAGCAGCCACGTTCGTGCGGCACTAGGCGCTAAAATAAGCTGCTTGCAGCCTCAGCTAAATCAGGCGCAAGCGCGGGGGCGGGGAGCGAGCCGGCGCGGAAGCCTCTACCTTCCCCCGCCCTGTCTTGCCCTGCCTCAGTTTCCCCAAGTCCAGGCAAGAAACGAAGAGAGTACTCAGAGGGATGAGAGGTCGCCCTGCCTCTGCTTCGGTAGCCGAGGTGTTGGGTGCAGGGCACTGGGCCCCCTCCCCCATGGAATGAGCTGTTTTTTATCCTGGGGGCACGGACGAAAAGGAGCTGGGGGCTCCAGGGGCCGCCAGACCCAGGCCCGGAGCCGCGCAGGAGATAACCGGGTGGGTGCCCAGGTGCCCTCACACCCACCCCACCCCTACCATCACCCCACCCCACCCCCACCCCCGTCGACCTCAGGAAAAAGCTCCCCTAAAAACGCTGGCCACACAATGGAGCTAGGCACTCGGGGCGGGGTGGGAGGGATCCCCGAACCGCGCCTCCGTCCTGTCTTCTGGTCCCCAGAGTGTCGTGGTTTATGCCCCCCAGGGTCTCCGCGAGGCAGTACAGGCCGAGGCAGGACCTTACCCCGCCACGCTGCCCCCAGGACGCGGTCTCCTAGGAGACGGCGCGGAAGCCAGCGGGGGCGGGGAACACGTGTGAGCTGTCCGACGGCCCGGCCTCCTGGGCCTGTGCCTCCCAGGCCACCCTCGGCTGGCACGGGGTGCACAACAGCACACGCGTGCACGATCACGCCCCGAGACAGCACCAGGCCATCGGGACCTGGCCTCCCAGGTGCCGGACGCCCACTCCGCTCCTCCCGGAGCCAGGCCCGGGGGCCCGCAGGCGCACGCGGCGCCGCACGCGCCCAGCCCTGGGTCCGCGCCAAGCTGCAGCCTCGCACGTGAGGCCCAGTGTGTCATTTCCACACGCAGGGCCGGCGCCGGGAGGGGGAGGACGGGGGGGGGTGTGGCCGGGGATGGGCGCGTGGCCGGGGGTGGGCCCGTGGCCCGGTGGGTGGGCGCGTGCTTGGGGGGCCCGCGTGCGGTCCTGGGTGTGCAGGGAGGGGAGAACACAGTGCGCCTCTGTGCGGTGCCGCGCGTCTATGTGCACTGGGTGTGGGTGTTTGTCTCCGGAATCTGCCTTCCCTGCCGTCCGTCGGTCCTGGACTTTTCTTTCCCGGCCTCGCCTTCCCGGTGCCCTGCCTCCGCCCTCTTAGGGCTCCAGGTGGGTGCCCTGGGGGGGCGAGGGGCCGCCTACCGACCTACCCACCCCCAGATGCCTCTGGGGCTCCCGGCTCCCTCCTCCTCCCCCCTCCTCCCTCTCCCTCCCTCCCCCCTGGCTGCCATGCCAGGGGGTGGGACGTGCCAATCACCGGCTGTGCCGCTCCCGCTGCCAGCGCAGGGCGCAGCTCCCCCCGGGAGCCAGGTGTTTGGGTCCCGGGAGATGCGGTGCCCGGAGAAGCGCGGCTGAGGACCCTGCAGACCCTTGTATGCCCATGGTGAGTGCAGGGGGGGGCTGTGAGGTGGGAAGGGAGCTGGGCAGGAGTGGGGTCCCCAGCTCGGCAGAGCCAGGGTGGGACTAGTGCTCTTCCCGGGGAGGAAGCAGGGGGGTTCTGCAGAACAGGGGCTGGGGACACTGGCCCCTGGCTGCCCCCAGTGCTCTGCCTCTAAGTGAGCATCTCTGATGTCTTCCTGGTCTCTGGCCTGTGATGGAGATGAAGGGCACCCCCTACCTCCCACCTCCCACCCCCTAACCTCCCCAACCCCCCCCCCCAGTAATTGGCGCCAGCCCAGCAGGGAGCAGACTGCACTGTACCTGGTGGCAAGAGGACAGGCAAAGGCCAGGACACAGCCCTGACCACCAGTGTCCATGGAAGGCTGCTCCCCTTCATCAACACTGGTCCCAGAATCTCCTCTCTCCTCTCTCAGGGCACCCCCAACCACAGTCACCTCCCCAAGATGGACTGACCCAGGCTGCTGGCCGTGTGGACAAGCTGGATGCCAAGGTGGGTGTTGGGTAGAGACCCAAGGTTTGCTAGGTGGCTGGGCATGAGAGCCACACTGGCCAGGGCAGGTGGCCCTGACAGGAGTCACCCATGCTTTCAGTACCTCAGGTGCCCACAGGAGAAGTTCAGGTATCTGGGTCCAGGCAATGCCTAGAGATCAGTGGACATCTGGCCTGGGCACCTAACCCTGAACACCACTGTGTGTGGTTCCTGCAGTGTCACCATTGCCTGCGCGGGCAATAGGAGACAGCAGTCAGACCCCTAGTATGCTAAGTCACCAGTGCCGAAGCAAGGGCTTGCCTCTCCCCAAAACACACCTGCAGCTCCACCCTGCCACGCAGCCCCTGTGCAGCTGGGGGAAGGAGTGGGCAGCCTCCTATTCCTGGGGATTGGCCCTTCCCTGGGCTGCATCTGTGCCCTGCCAGGGGGACACAATGAGAGCTGGGGACTAGATCAGAAGCATAGAGAGCCACCCCAGGAGTCAAGAAGGGAGAAGGCCCAAGGCCCAGCAGGTCTAGGGAGGAGCTGCCCATTGTGGAGATGGAGAAAATGAGACTGGGGTAGGTGTAGCCTCAGCTACAGGAAGGGACTGAGGGGTCCAAGAACAGAAGGTGGGATGGGGAGCAGGCGCCTTGCTGGGAGGCGGCAGCAAGGGCTCAGGCAGCAGGCACAGGAGAGTGGGTGAGGCGCTGGGTGCTGTGCGCTGGTGGTGCCATGGTGACGGAGGGGGAGGCGAGGGGAGCAGGAGCTGGCAGGGGCACGTGAAGCACCCAGCACCCCTGAGCAGGTCCAGGCCCGGACTGCTGACCTCGGTCAGCCTGGAGAAGCACAGTCAAGGCCTTTGCGTGAGCACACTTAGCAGCAGCCATGGGTACTGCCCTCTCCCCTACAGCCATGTGTGCCGTGTTTAGCGGGGGGATGCTACCTGCACCACACTGGCAACCTGAGCTGAGAATGTGGCCAGCATCCTTTGAGATCAGGCAGCAGGAGCAGTCGCTGAGGTGTCTTCTGTGGATCAAGAGGCCCCTGGGAAAAGCCAGCCTGTGGGCTACACCCTGGCAGGAAGCACCAGGCAGGGAGCCAGGCCAGATGAGGGCCACCTTTGCACCCTGCCAGCCCTCCACTAACCACCCACTCAGAGGCCTCTGCTCATTGGGACTCTCTAGGGGCCCCCCAGCAGGCACCAGGATGGTTCCACTCTCCGCCTCCCCCATCCTCACAGTGATGCTCAGGCATCTGCCCTTGGATGGCTCTTGCCTCCCCATTCTGCACCAGCCACCCAGCCCCGAGGGACAGGGACCATGTGTGCTGGCCCAGTCAGTTGGTTGGTCAGTCATAGTCAAAGGCTCTGGCCTCCTCCCTTAACCCTTTATATCCAAGCTGATACTCATTCATGCGCACACACATGTGCACACACACACGCACGCACGCACGCACGCATGTGCACGCCTACGGCTTCCCTACCACAGAGGCAGAATTCCCTTGGTCCATTTTATAGATGAGCCAGTCAGGGGGTCTCACCCAGGGCACAGAGGCCCAGCCCCAGAGGAGGAGTGGGAAGAGGTAGCCTGGGCCTGGTGAGCATCTGTCCTGCTCCAGAGCCTTCAGCCAAGGAGGAGGAGGATGTGAGCCACAGTTACTCATTTCATGAACATTCACTGAGCACTTCTTGTGGCTGAGCCCTGGATAGAGCAAGTGGGACAGGGCGGTCAGACTCCCCACAGCCATCCCTGACGCAGAGGAGAAACTGTCACATCCAGGCAAGCTCTGAGCAGAAGACAGAGTCCTGGTTGCTCAGTGACTCAGGGACAGGCATAGACCAGGTGTGGGCCACCACATAGACCAGGTCCCCACTGGCTGTACCCCCAGATGCTACAAGGTTGCCACCCCTTTTGCAGTCTGAGGATAATGGCACCTCTCTCCTGAGGGGCAGGACCAGTTAAATCACATCACATATGTGACGCGCTCGGCTGTGCCTGGGAGGTTCTAGCAGACAGTGCAGCCCATTGCCGTAACATCGTTACAGGCTCCACAGCCCTCCCGGGAGGCCCATACCTAGGCAGACAGCACCAGCACCCCCTGCTGGCCTCTACCCTTGCCCAGGCTCCCAGGCCCTGCTCAGCAGCATGCACTTCCCAGCCACTGGTTCTGACCGCAGAAGGGCTCCCTGGATTGGACAGCACCTTTCGAAGTAGCACGGCCAGGAAGTCACACAGCCAGGCGAGGGCTCAAATCCAGCAGGGGGCATGTACCAGTGGTCTGGGAGAGCCCCCTGCCATGGCAGTGCCTGCTCCCACCCTGTTCTGGACAGGTCAGGACAGCCAGGTGAGATAGGGCTGCCCTATGGGGCTGGGTCCTCTTGTCAGTTAGCATTTTCATTGTGGATTCTTTGTGTTAATTTCTCTTTTTTTTTTTTTTTTTTTTTTTTGTGGAACCGGGGATTGAACACAGGCCCTTGCGCTTGCCAGGGAAGTGCTTATTCCACTGAGCCATCACTCCGGCCCCTCTCTCTCTTTTTTTTTTTTTTTTTTTTTAAGTATTGTGTTAAAGTGCTCTTTTCTTTAGTCCTGGGTGCCCCTGAGGAAAGTGTCCCTGCCCCAGGTGGGGATGAAGCTGAGCCCAGCCAGAGGCACCTTCCACTCCTCTCCTCTGGGCCTCAGTTTTTTCCTTTGTACTGTGGGTGGTGCAAAGGGCTGAGTTCAAAGAGCAAAAGAGCTAAGAGTGGGCCAAATACCCCTCCCGAATCCAGGCTCTAATTGGTGTCCAACTCAAGAGGGATGCCTCAAAGACCCATAAGAAAGACTAATTTTGCTTTTTTGCAATACTGGCAGTCAAACCAGGGCCTCCCGTGTGCTAGTTGAACATGCACCCTTAAACTACATACTCAGCCCTTTTGAAATTTTATTTTGAGACAGACTCTGCCCAACTTGCCTAGCCTGGCCTTCAAATTGCAATCCTCCTGCCTCAGCCTCCTGAATAATTGGGATTACACCACATCCAGCAAAATACGTATTTTAACGCAGTATTCTTTTTTTTTCAATTTTGTTTGTTTGTTTGTTTTGTGTGTGTGTGTGGCCAGCTCAGCCCACTAGGGGGCGGGGCTGGCTGGCATGTGGTGCTGGGGGATTGAATCGCGGTCCCTGTGCTTTGCTTAGCTTAGCTTGTTCTAAGTAGGTGCTTTAGACCACTAAGCCATCTCACCAGCCCCTAATGCAATATTCTTAAAATTCCCTCTGGTTAGGGACAGCCCACAGGCCAGTCACCAGCACTGCTAAGTGAAGTTCCACTAGGACAGACCACTCCCGGTGTGGCCCTTGCTCCTCCCTTCCTTGTGGGGCCTGTGAGTCTTTGTGTTTTCTCAACCTCGGCTTCCTCATCTGTAAAATGGAGAGGAAAGTGAGGCCCAGGTCACAGATTGCTGTGAAGACCGAATGGGGTAGCAGGGTGATGACCAGCTCTGGGCAGAATCCCTAGCAGTAAGCGTATCAGCCACCACTACTGCCTCCAAGCTTTGTACTCAAAGCAGGGGATGCTGCTGGCAGGAGGCACCCTTGAGGCCACACTAGATGGAATCATTATGAAGCTCAGGCCTCCTAGGCCGAGGCTGTCCAAGCACTCTGATCACCCCCACGTCCCTGAAGTGTGCGCCCACCAGGGTTTTATCCCCATTTTTCAGTTATGGAAACTAAGGTATAAAAAGCCCCATGGATCATCACTTCCAAATCATTGGTGAAGCTTAGATTCTAACCCAGACAGTCCATACCTGGTATACAACTGCCCCAGACACCCAAGCCACACTGCTGGCATGGCCTCGGCCAAGAGCTGCTCATACCTGCTGCAGGTCACCACCACCACTGCACACTGCAGAAGCCACCAGGCACAGGCAGGAGGGGACAGCGGTGCCTGAGACCCAGAGCAGGAAGGTCTTCCACACGGTGCACCACGGGGCCTCGGCCAGCCGGACCCCTTCCCTGTGCTGTGGCGCAGCTGAGCATTCAGGAGTTACCTGAGCTGACCCCGTGCACTTCTAGGAGGACAGCCTTGGCTATGGGCCTCCCTCTTCACCCTGCTTGGTATCTGAGCTGCACAACGCTGGGGGCATCTGCCTGTTCCCCGTTGCCCCATTCTGTGGAGGCCTAGGAACACAGCCAGCACAGGGCGGCCTCCCACAGCCCATCTGGGGCCAGACCCCGCTTTCTGGGCACTGAGGCGTAGTTCCCCAGCCTGGTCTTCTGGAATGCTGCTGAGGCCCAGCCCGCCCCAGCCCACACCCCTCCCTTGTCTGTCTCTGCCTCACCCCAGCCCCCTTTCCCAACTGTCCCCTCATGATGGCAGTGTCCCTCTGGAGCCCCACAAACCCTAGCCCTACTCAACATGGTGTCACTGTGGCCACCTGCGGTGAGGTGAGGTGGTGAGGCTGTCCTCCTGGGGATACACACACAGCTGGTTCTGTCACTTGACTGAGTATCTAACACGGGTCAGAGCAGCCGTAGCTCAGTAAGGAAACTGCCACGGCTGAGCTAAATGCTTGGAAACCTGGGCAGCTGAGTGAGAAGAGAGCTGCCCATCTCGGGCCCCATGTTCTGGGCACCACAGGACATTGGCAGCCTCCTGGTGGGACAGGGCTCGGCAGTTGCACAGGCAGCTGGAAGGAGCAGCATCTGGCCTGGCTTTCCAATGGGCCGCCAGCCAGGCCGAGTGCGCAGTAGCGGCCCCATGATTGAGGGGAGTATGTACCTGGCCTGCGGCGCCCACTCAGGTTCCACCCAAAGCCTGTGTCTGTCTCCAGGCGATGATGCCCCTCTGAGACGCCCTCCGTGGGAGTGGACAGTGGGGCCAGCCCTGCCCACAGGCCATCATGAACACCTCGGCACCGCCCGCTGTCAGCCCCAACATCACCATCTTGGCCCCAGGAAAGGGTCCCTGGCAAGTGGCCTTCATCGGCATCACCACAGGGCTCCTGTCACTTGCCACCGTAACAGGCAACCTGCTGGTGCTCATCTCCTTCAAGGTGAACACGGAGCTCAAGACAGTCAACAACTACTTCCTGCTGAGCCTGGCCTGCGCTGACCTCATCATTGGCACATTCTCCATGAACCTCTATACCACCTACCTGCTCATGGGCCACTGGGCGCTGGGCACACTAGCCTGTGACCTCTGGCTGGCCCTGGACTACGTGGCCAGCAATGCCTCAGTCATGAATCTTCTACTCATCAGCTTTGACCGCTACTTCTCAGTGACCCGGCCACTGAGCTACCGCACCAAGCGCACACCACGCCGGGCAGCCCTAATGATTGGGCTGGCCTGGCTGGTCTCCTTTGTGCTCTGGGCACCAGCCATCCTTTTTTGGCAGTACCTGGTGGGTGAGCGGACAGTGCTGGCTGGGCAATGCTACATCCAGTTCCTCTCCCAGCCCATCATCACCTTCGGCACCGCCATGGCTGCCTTCTACCTCCCAGTCACCGTCATGTGTGCACTCTACTGGCGCATCTACCGGGAGACTGAGAACCGGGCTCGGGAGCTGGCAGCCCTGCAGGGCTCTGAGACACCTGGCAAGGGTGGTGGCAGCAGCAGCAGCTCAGAGAGATCGCAGCCTGGAGCTGAGGGATCCCCAGAGACGCCACCTGGCCATTGCTGCCGCTGTTGCCAGGCTCCCCGGCTGCTGCAGGCCTACAGCTGGAAGGAGGAGGAAGAGGAGGAAGAGGGCTCCATGGAGTCACTAACGTCCTCAGAGGGTGAGGAGCCCGGCCCTGAGGTGGCCATCAAGATGCCCATGGTGGACGCTGGGGCCCACGCAGCCGCCAAGCCAGCCCCCAAGAGCTCTCCCAGCACAGGGAAGAGGCCCACGCGGAAGGGGCGAGACCGTGCCAGCCGCGCCCAGAAGCCCCGCGGGAAGGAGCAGCTGGCCAAGCGCAAGACCTTCTCACTGGTCAAGGAGAAGAAGGCAGCCCGGACCCTGAGTGCCATCCTCTTGGCCTTCATTCTCACCTGGACGCCATACAACATCATGGTGCTGGTGTCCACCTTCTGCAAGGACTGTGTCCCCGAGACCCTGTGGGAGCTGGGCTACTGGCTGTGCTACGTCAACAGCACTGTCAACCCCATGTGCTATGCACTCTGCAACAAGGCTTTCCGGGACACCTTCCGCCTGCTGCTGCTCTGCCGCTGGGACAAGAGACGCTGGCGCAAGATCCCCAAGCGCCCTGGCTCTGTGCACCGCACCCCCTCTCGCCAGTGCTGAGGGCCCGCCCCCTGCCCTCCAAGCTAGCCAAGGCCACCCTGTCTGCTCTCCCCACAGCAGCAGCGGAACCTGGGGAACTGGTTTTTCTGTTCCCTGCTGAGTGGGAGTGGGCTGCACCAGGAAAAGACTGAAGAGGAACCGGGTTTTACTCCATGTTTGCCTAGGGCAGGAAGTCCAGGGCCCACTGGTCGGCTGGCAGTTCGGGCCATGTTCTCCTGGCCTTGGCCCAGCAAGCTGAGCAGCAGGACTATGGTGGGATACTGTGCACTCTGGGGCCACAGTGGCACCAGCCCCAGGTGTTGAGACAAGAAGCTTGGCTCCGGGCTCAGGGACCCCAGCTGGAACTCTTTCTCCCACCCCCACCCTGCTCCCCAGGACAGTTCAGCATCCCAAGACGCCCCCAGAGCACCCTGTGTGTCATCTCCCAGGCAAATGTCCAAGAAACAACAGGACAATGAATCCAAGGAGGATCCAAAGGGCTGGTGGCAGCTATAGGGCCAGGCGCCAGGTGTTGTGTCCTGCTGTCCTCCGTGCCCTGTGTCCCACTGACCTCAGTTCTTGCCCACCTGGTTTACAGCCATCATTGGGACTGGGCTGCCTGGTTCCTGAAGCCCAGCTAGGCCCTGCATGCCACCCACCACCAGCCCTGCCAGCCCTGCCCTGCCCTGCCCTGCACAGCCAGCTGCAGGTCCTCTCCCAAGTTCATTCCCAACTGTGCATGGCCTCCCAGCATCTCTTGTCCTGGCCCGGCTGGACCACGTGTTCTTCCTCTACCTCAGCAGTTGCTGAGTCTAAATAAAGCCACACAACCAGCCAGTGTTAAGGCTCTTCCTCAGGTGTTATTGCTGGGTCCTGGACGGTCAGGAAACTCTGGACAGTTGCTGTGGGCTGCGGTCAAGGTCAGCTCTAGGAGGGACTCCCAGCCTGGCCCAGGAAAGGGTGGCAAACAGGCGAAGCTCTGGTTCAGAGGACAGCTGGACCCCTGTCCCAGGAAGGCAGGCAAGTAAAGAGTGGCTCCAAATTCCAATTTAGGGCTGGGGAGACAGCTCAGTGGCATAAGCACTTGACTGGCATGTGCAAGGTCCCAAGTTCGATCCCCGATACTACAGAAAACTCAAATTCCAATTTAACCCAAAGGCCATACCTAACAAGCTGGGGTGACCCTTTGGCCTTGCATGGTTGGTACCCCGCAGAGGAGGAGTCCAAGCCTCATGTCAAGGACCCAGAGAAATTAATCCCTGAGGAATGTTTCTCCAGCTGGGGGTGGGGTCAGGAGTCCCCAAGCACAAAAGGGTCACATATTTGTTAGCAGGAGACACTGGACTCAGCATACCTTCAACAGTCCCCATCGCTACCTGGAGAGAATGGAGGAAAATGGCAACAGAAGGCAGCTCAGGGCAGGGTCACTTGGAGGTGTCCCTCAGAGGAGGCAATAGGACCAGGCTGATCCTCCTGGCAGCAGTGTGACAGCATAGTGCCTGCCTTGGTGCCCAGCACAGCCACTAGAGACAGTCACAGGCCTAGCTCTGCACAGTCACTCAGACTCCCCGAGTCCAGGAGGTAGGGGGAGGCCCAGGGCTCGCGTGCCCTCCCACAGCAGTGAGCAGTCTGTGCCTCCTGGAGAGGCCCAGGGTTAGCACCTGAAGATGGTGCAGCCCGGAGCAGCAGCCTCAATGTCACCTGCTAGCATTGTGAGCAGGCAGGTGTCAGGGTCCCCTGGACGGACAAAAGTGGAAAGCAAGGGTCAAAGCCAGTTTGGGTTGTTTTCATGGTATTGGAAGTTAAACCCAGGGCCTTTCCACTGAGCTACATTCCAAGCTCTTTAAATTTTTCATTATTTTGAGACCAGGTATCTCTCTAAGTCACCAAGCTACGCAGGCTGGGCTCAAATTTGTGATCTTCCTGCCTCACCCTCACAGAGTGCTTGCTGAGAAGTATGTGCCACCATGCCTGGCTTGTTTTCTGAGGGAAGGTCTCACGCTAACACACGTGGTCCTCAAACTCACGAGCCTCCTACGTCAGCCACCCCCAGGGCTGGAGTCACTGAAATATGCCACCACACCCAGTTGGCTGGCTTACTTTTCTCATTGCTGAGTCGAAATACCTGACACCCACAATTAAAGGGGGAAATGTATTTGTCTCACAGTTGGTAGAGGCTTCAGTCCATCGCTGGCTGGACCCAAGGCGAAGGGCCATCACGGAGGAGAAATAGTCATGGCAAGCAGAAGACAGCAGAAGCAACAGGTGACCTTTAAACCATCTTTTATCACGTTGCTCAGGCAGGTAATGCCCTTCAGCCTCATGCTACACTGACACTCTAGAGCCAGTCACCGGGCCAGCCAAATAGCTCAGCGGATTAAAGCAACTGCAAGCAGGTGCAGGGACCATGGGTTCGATCCCCAGGCCTGCCATGCTGGCCTTGCCCTGGGGACATGCTGAGACAGCAGCTGAGACTGGGCATGGTGGCGCACGCCTGTAATCCCAGCTCTTGGGAAGCAGTAAACAGGCAGATCACTACGAGTCCGATCAAGTAGTAAGACCCTGAATACCCTGTAGACCATTCCTTAAAATACAAATAGTAATAATAATAATAATAATAATAATAATAATAGAGCCAGCCACCTCTGAAAATGCCCCATGTGTGACTATGTGAGGCTCTGGGGAACATCTAGACACAAACCACAGCCCTGGCCTTGGGTTCTGACAAGCCCCACAAGTGGTTCTGATGTAGGCAGAGAAACCCTGACCTAGAGGGTGGGGTCCTAGTGGGGCTCAGTCCCTGCAGAGGGACGAGTGGGGTGTACCTCAGCTGCCAGGCCGCACAGAAGCCTGTGGGCGGGAGGAGGGGCAGCACAATGTGCGTGAGAAGCCTGGACCCCATGTCTAGCTCCCAGCCGCCAACCTGGGACCTGACAGTGCCTCCTCCAGATCTGTGTGCACAAGTCCTAGCCTGTGTGGAAGGCCTCAGAGCCCCAGTCAGGACCAGAACTCCAGGTCCACCTGGCCTGGCCTCTGCTGGAGACTGAAAGGGGCAGCCCAGGCTGTGCTGGAATTGGGCAGAGCCTGGTGGCTCAGTGTGCTCCTTGTCCAATGGACCTTGTATGGAGCTCCACATGTCCTCAAGGATCTCCTGCCCTCTCATCCGTATCCCTGACAGAAGCATAAGCCCCTTGCAGAAGAGGTGGAGAACAGGACAGGTGACAGGAAAGTACCTGGGACTCTGTGATAGGACTAATACAGCTGATTCACATGAGCCCGGGCTCTGCCCACACCCCAGAGTCCCCTATCCTGGCTGTGGGAGGACAGGGCCTGCAGACAGCACAAGTGGCCCCACAGCTCTGGAGCAGGAGCCCAGCAGACTCAGCAGGCCAGAGGGAAGGGCAGGGCCTGTGCTGGGAAAAGGTAGCTGGGTGCCATCACCTTCTCCCCCCCGAGGAGTCCTGCTCCTCCCCAGAGGCCTCTGCATATCCAGCAGGGAGTAGGGAAAGGAGACCTTTCCTCCCAACCCCCACCCCTGCTATACCCAGCTGCTGGAAGACTGGAGAAGGGGCACAATGTCACCCTGGGTCACCCCACCACCACCAGCTTGGCCACTGCTGCCCAGCCTGACTCTGTCTCCATCTGCTGGCAGCCAGGGGGATAGCCTGGCAGGAAACAACAGAACCCAGGACAGCACCCACCGCCCCAGCTTGTATCTCAGACCTCAGGGGGCCCCAAACAGCAGAAGGCCCAATAACCTGTGTCCTACGGGCACCTGTAGCACCCACAGGCCCAGCCCCTCACCAGCTTGCCATCCCTGAAGTTGACAGGATGGACAGGGCGTTGGCCAGGATGCCCCCTTCTCCCTGGGCCCCTGGGGCTATGGAACCCTTGCTTCTGTAGCAACCCACAGGAACCCCAGCCACCATGCTCACCCCAGACCGTGAACCCTCTGAACATCTGGTGCCCTTGGCAGTCCTGGAGCCCACAGGGCTTGAGGCTGTTGCTTCCAGTGTCATCATTTTTAGCATCTTTGTGGACAAACTGCAGTCTCCAAAACAGGCCTTGGAGCAGTTCTCTCCTGTTTACTTCCTGCCCCTCTGGCATTGTCCACACCAGAAGCCGGGCAGGAGCCCACCTCCTGAGGACACGCGTGGGCTTCTCCAACAGTTGGCCAGGGCCATACAGTGAGTATTTCAGATGCTGCTGGCCAAGAGGCAAAGCCAAGGCTCTGTATTACACCATCAGAAGCAGCCCTGGGAGACGTCGGTGCATAAGGCAGCAGAGTGTGTTCCAATAAAATTTTATTTGTTGCACATAATTTTCATGTGTCAGGCTGGGGAGATGGCTCAGTAGAATAAGTGCTTACCTGGCAAGCACAAGGGCCTGAGTTCAAGCCCTGGTTTTGAAAAAAAAAAAAGTGTCACAAAATATTATTCTGCCTTCAGTTTGTTTTCCAGCCTTTTTAAAATGCTTCAAAGTTGGAGAAAAGGAAGGGCTGCAAGGTCAGTGAGGACTTGGGACACAGGAGAACCTGTACTATAACAACATGTAACTCAGTCGTGCTCCAAATTTTCTGATCAAGAAGATTATGGAGCCACAGAGGAATGTGTTCGATGATGTATAGTGTGCCTGGGGAGAGTCACATGGAGAGAAAAAACATCTTCTCAGGCTTTCACAGAGAGCAAATTGGTCAAGCAATGGCCGTGACTCATCCTCATGTCAGACGCTGACAAAAGGATGTACAAAAAAAGTGCGGTACAGGGCTACAGGATAAATCCTGAGAGTACTTGGCTGACCTTATCAGATACAAAAGTTACATTTCTTGGTATATAGGTCTTGCTTTATCTTGGTCTTAACCATCCAGCAGAAAAGTATAAAAACAAGGTATATAAAGTAAATCCATATTATTATGATGAGCTGTAAAAGGCTCAAGTCAATAACTTCTGAGGATAACCCACTAATATTATAGACTGCTAGACATTGTTAGATTGTTTAGTTGAATTCAAACACCTATAGTATTTAGATGCCAATAGAATATTCACCTCTGACAGACAATAAAAAAATGATACAAAGGAAAGATCATTTTGTATTTATATATACAAAATAGTTAGCATAAATTTACAGTTACTTTCACTTAATTCAAAGAGAAGAAAGAGGTGTACTAACAGTGTTTGGACAGAATATCCTGCCTGCTTCTTGTACTGTGGATAACCACTAAGAAGATAACAATGTATTGATTATGAAAACTGTCCTATTAATCAGCTGTGAAACTCTCTCATTCATATTTATTTCTCAATAAAAAAATTTTTAAAAAAAATTAGAAACGATACAGAATTTAACTAAACAAAACTATAGGAGTTCAACAATGGTTTTTATATTGCATACTTTTGTCTTCAAATTGGTTGTTCAGATTACCAGATATAAACGTGCAAAATTGGTTAAAAATATTAAAAAGAAAAAGAAAAAAAATAAAATGCTTAAAACCTAGCAAGAAAGAGGTATACTGGTGCTGGGGAGATGGCTCAGTGGAATAAGCACTTCCCTGGCAAGCAGAAGGGCCTGAGTTCAATCCCCGGTTCCACCAACAAAAACCAAAGAAGTGTACTAACAGTGTTTGGACAGAATATCCTGCCTGCTTCTTGTACTATGGATAACCACTAAGAAGATAACAATGTACAGTGTATTGATTATCAAAATTGTCCTATTAATCAGTAAAAAAAAAAAACCTAGTAAGGCACCGTGATACAAGCCTATAGCGCCAACTACGTAGGGGC